GGTGTGGGCAGCAAGGGAATTTGAAGAAGTCGTTGGGTTTCTTCCTGATGGATGTTGACATAGGCTCGAGCAATGGTGGGAAGGGGATCCATGGCCGGGATCTGACTTCGAATTGTAGAGAATGAATCATTGAGACCCATAAGGAATTGGATGAGCCATTCGGTGTTGACGATGATTTTAACTTTCTTTTTTGCTTGACATGTGCAAAGATTCGATTCAGTAAGGTCAGTAAGCTCATCCCAAAAACCATTGATGGTGTTGTAGTAAGTGGTGATAGACATGGTGCCTTGTTTGAGGTTGACAAGATCACGGCGGAGGCGGGGATGAATACTTTGACATAAATGGTTGTCCAAATTGGTCCAAACATCAGATGATTTTGAAGAATAAATTAAGTTTTGGCATAGAGATTTATCAATCGAATTTAAGAGCCATAAGAGTACCATATCATTGTAACGATCCCATAGTGTAGCAATTGAAGAATCTGATGGTTTTTGTAGAGAACCATCGATGAAAACGAGCTTATTTTTTGCATTAAGGGCCATACGCATTGAGCGTTTCCAGGTGGCATAGTTATTGTCCTTGATGAGGTCGGGCACTAAGACAACGCCAGGATTGTTAGTAGGGTTAGGAAGTATGGTGAAGTGAGGTCATTGATCATTTAAGAAAGAGTTTGGGTAGTAGCCATGGTGAAGGAAGCAGGAAATTCTGCTACTGGAAGAAATTGGAAGAAGAATTAATTTTGCTGGAATCAGAAACTGGAAGAAGAATTAATTTTGCTGGAATCAAAAAATTATGCTGTTGGGATGAAAAAAAATGGTGCTACTCTTACTGTTCTGATACTATAATACAAGTCTAAAGATGAACTGAAAGGAATAATTGTTATTGATTAATTCTTCTTATGTTTACAATGAATATGGAACATCTTTGTAGTTGTAGAATAAACCTATACATGAAAAATCTATACATAGAAGAGAATAAACTTAAACAAGGAAAATAATAAACTTGATTTTGTGTATATTGTGTATTACTCCCCAAGTCTCACCTTTTTTTTTTTTTTTGCCCCCATAATGCAAGAAATAATAATACTATACAACCCCATAATTCAATCATCATAATATCCGTATGTCCCTCTATATATATACTACCCTAGTCAAAACTTTTTTCTCCCAAAAACTTATTTCATATGTGCGAGTATTAAACACGTATTGATCATATAATATCAAGGTGTGTAGCTTATGGTATGATATTTGATGACGTTTAAAGTGGAAAGATTTACATCAAGATGGTAATCAGGTGCTTCAATGGGTGGTGGTTGGTGGTTCTTGCCATCCTAACGACATCACTACTAGTTTTGACTTCTTTGAGAGAATATATATGTTTTAGTTTTCTTATCATTGACAACTTCTTCTTAGTATGCGAAGTAAAAGCATCAAAAGGAGGCAAGTTTGAGCTCAAGCAATTTTCCTTTAATGCTCGAAGTAGCAAAGTAAAGAAAGGTGGATTGTTCCCTCAGAGAAGTTGGATAGGAGCATTTCCTTCCTTACAGCAAATCGTTTCACGAACGTACTTTTGAACTCTAGCCAACTCCTAATACTCCTTGGGGATATCTTATTGTACCAAATTTCTACCTCCCCACTTAAAGTTAGATGGAAGGCTCTGTATTTAACAGTGGGGGTGGCGTCTCTTAAGCTCATGTGTGTTTGTAACAGTTCAAGTGCTTAGCCGGGTCACCTCTTCCATCATACTTTGGTATCTTTGGCAACACATAGTGACTAGGGACATGAGTATCTCTCAGTTCTTGTAAAAAAGGCAAATTTTCGTCGTCCTCATCGAGATCACAAGATCTTTGGCATTCATTCAAGTCTTCCTCTTCATCAGTTTCATATCTGGGCGAAAGATGATATGCGCATGCCTGATCTCTCACCATTTCCTTCATCTTGTTGTGCCTATTTCTAGGTGGGGCAATACTAGGGGCATGTCCTTGTCTTTCCTCTGATTGCTGGGCTGTAGGAGATGGTGGTTGTAGCAAATTCCTAGGTGCTGAAGGCGGTTGGGATTGCCTATACTTGGTTCCCGAGGGGCTGATTCTGTCAAATACACCAACAGACCTTTGCGGCAATTTTTCTGGCTTGTATTCAGGGGAAATTATCATCTATGTCAACATGGGCTTCGATGGGTCGGTCAAAGCATAGTTTGAGGAAATATCAACCCCCACTTCCCTTTCAAGGGAGTTAACTTCCCTAGCCTGCCCAGGGGATGGGGTCCTCTGACTTTGGACTCCATCCTCACGCGAATAGTATCATTGTGGTGCAAAAGGAAAAATCGGAAGACCTCTCGGGCCTTGCATCTGCATGAGAAATTCTTGCATAGCCATGTTTTGATGAGTGATATTTCTCATGTTAGTAGCCATGGTTGCTCTCTTGATTGAGTTAAGCTGCTACCCTCATCCCACTGCCCCTATGGTGGTGGTAAGGGAGGGGCGCGACCTGCTGGGCTGTTGCTTTTGGATTCTTTTTGTTAAGATTTTTTCTTACCTTCCTAGGAGGGATATCACGATCTGAACTCATTTTTCTTTAGCTAAACTGTTGGATTTTTCCGACTTTTGGTGCTTCTGCTTGTTCTTTTTCAAGAACAAATAATTTTTAAGGGGAATGCCCAACTATTTTTCGGTAAAAAAAATTTCATGGGAATGTTTGTGGTTATAGTGGCATTTTTCACAACGACGCCAATCTATTGACCTCGTTTTTCGCACTGTTGACGTGGACAACAGATATCGGGCTTACTCGCGTGCTTTCAAGCTAATTCCAACACAGTGGACTGATTGTCGATCGATAATATCTCGAATTTGAAAGTGGGAGAAGCCTTACAACACGAGACAAATATATTCGGGTTCCAGAAAAATATATGAGATAAATTACACAATAATGAATGATCGACTAAGAACCAAACTCAAGATCTAAATCACACATCAAACATTAAAAACCAAAGATTAATAAAAAGGAGGAGAATGTATTGACTTGTAGTTGATATATTTGCATTTCCCTCAAAATGACACAAATGAGGGATATTTATAGTGCTACATATAAAATGGTATCTATAGGATGGGGGACTCGTGGTCTCATCTCCTTAATCGAGTCATCTTATATGAATTAAATGTCCCCAAAAATGAGGTAGCCATAATATAACTAATGCTGACAAGATTGGCATTTCTACTCATTACCAAAGTTCAATTAATCATTCTAAAAGAATTTCATAAATTCAAGATCTTCAAACGTGGATCGTCCCGGCCTTAATTAAGTTTCGGATTGTACTTCATTGAACATCGCCACTTCGACAAAAAAACTTCATTTGGACATTGGATGTCTTTAGTAGAGGGATTTCGGCATGGTCAATTTCATGAAAATCGCTTCAGTAGGAGTAAATTTCGGTGGATCGAATTTAAATGGAATTTGGTAGGTCCTACTCCATATGACATCACATGGACTCGGCAAGAAGAGCTTCTACGGATCGGCCACATGGAATGCCAGAAGGCGAAGTGTAACAGTGTGCAATAGTCATACTCTTCTAATCTTCTTCCTTTATACCCCATTAATTTAAATAAATGAATTTATCATTTAAAACTTTTAAAGAAAGTTGGATAATTCTAAAATAGACGAGAAAAATCTGTCTCCAACTCAACTGGAAGAATTTATTATTCCTTCATTGGATGGGATTTAAGCTTGCTCCATCATAACAATCTCCATTTGCATCAGCCCCTCCGACAATAGAAAAAAAGTAAGATAACTTTCTCCACAAGAAAACAAAAAAATACAGTTTCAGCTCAAACGATATAGAGGCAAAACCACAGATAGATGGGTTCAACAAATTTGTCTTCCATATATCAACATGCCTCAACCTATACCACTACATATAGATCATTTTCTACACATAACTCAATACATTTTAGTTAAGAATAATGTTTTGTTTAACTGTCCAATTGTGTATTGTCACGTGACACAATGTAAACAATGATGAACCATTATGTACATGTAGCACAATCGAAGAAGAAAATACTAATTTCCGCATAACAATCCATATCATCTTCGTTTACGGTTTATCCAAACTAAATTTAGACAGACAGAAGACATAATAACCATACTTCATTCTCTTCTTATTTCACCATTCAATCCTTCTTACTCTGCCACTTCCCAAGAATGCCAACTCTTCCCATTATGTATCCAATACTCAAAGCCTACGAACCCACAAGCATATAATCCTAACTCGTTTCTCCCCAAATTGGCAAATTCTCCTTTCATGTTTCACAGGCGATGAGCCCAATATAAAACCTATATCCTTGACACTTTCAATGTTGTACTAAACACAGTTGTTGTCTTTTCCAAATGAATAGTTCTCAAAAAATGAATGTTTTAGAGTTCATAGTCTAGCTACATATTTTCAGTTCAGTTTTGTGCTGAACGAGCTGAGCTGCCTTTGTACTCAACAAATGAATGTTTGAAAAGTTCAAGGTCTAGTTGCAAGTATTGTTTGAATTGGTTGTCAGGTAATCCGTCTACAGGTAACTGATATTAGGACTAACTGGACGGAGACACTCAGAGATAGAAAATCAATGAGTACACAACCGTTCTTATTAGAATTAGAGCGGGAAAATTCATTATACCCCAGTAAATTCCTATAGAACTTTAACGAATTAGACAAAATGACATGAATTTGCATGTTTCTTGGTAATGTTTACAATAACAAGCCCTTATGAAGCAAAAGTAAACAAGGATACTGAACATTGAAAACTATTCCTCTAGACATAATATACCCATTTTCCTGATGTTTTACGCATCGCAAAACTCAATACCATCAATTAGTTAGACTGCACGATTTCATCAAGACATGAATCTAATTCAATGCAGCTCCATTCCTCAAAGTATCTATTTTACAACACCGTATACAAACATGGAATCAAAACAAATCTATCTACAGGGTAAAGTACAAAATAAAACCTCATTTTCTCATGAAGAATGGCTTGACAAAGATAAAGACTCCAACCTCGCATTTCTTGCATTAACAATCTTCAACAACTCGATCGCCTTGTTCTTTCCCTTGTCACTCCCGTTCTGTGACACGTCAATAATCCCATCAAGCACCCTTTCTTCCATTTTTCCACAAACAAATTTGGAAACCTCCTCACCCCCACACAGCACCAAGTTCAACAGCGCAGAAACTGAATTCTCCTTAGTCCTATAACTCGATCCCGTGGAATTATCCAACAAATCCATCAACACTTCTAGCCCGGAAACCTTCTTGAATGCTTCCCAGCTCTCTTCACACCCTGCAACTTGTGCAATCACAGCTGTGGCATCCTCAACAAGCCCCACCCTCCCATCCTTGAGAATTAATGAAAACAGAGCATGTACTGCCCCCAACTCCACCATCTGCGCACGATTCAAAGGGTAAAGCGCAATGGCAAATAAAGCACTTAAAGAATCCTTAATTGACCTTGCCACCGACCCCGGACTCCTTATTATTTCTACAAGCCCAAATATAATATCCCGTTTGTGCCCAATAATAGGGCGAAATGATTCCATAGTCAACAGGCTGAAAATGGTGGCGGCAGCGCACTGGGCAACAAAAGGGGAAGCAGGATTTCGGACGGCATGCGAAAGGGCATCAAGGACACCATGAGACGCAATCAAATCCTCCTTGGAAGATATGGACAGATTCAAGATCGTGGCAGTGGCATTCTCTTGAAGAATCACAACTGTTGAATAAAGGGCTTCCGCTATCAACGGAATAGCGTTAGCCTCTGCAATTAACGAGCGGCTTTCCGGGTCATTTTTTGAAAGCAAACGCAGCTCGCACAGAGCTTCTGTGCGGGTTTGTTCAGAAACGGAGCTGAGCTTTGTTACAAGGGTTTTCACTGTTCTTCGTTTGACAACCTCCATTTCAATCGATTCAAGAAATCATATGGGTTTTTCTTCAGAGGGAATATGAATGACTTTCGTGTGTGTACATGTATGTTGACTTAAAGGAAAAGTATTTTGATTGTCCAAGCTTTTCTGCTAAAATAAATTACACGCGTATGGTTGTTGGTACAAGTGGATGTAATTATTAGGAAGAAGATGAGAAAAAGTGGAACTTGACTCCGTAAAGCATTTGTTGGGAGCCATTAAACGGCGCCGTGCGTCGCAATCTGGATTCAGTGTGAAAAGACCGATCTTTATTTATTTATTTATTAATAATTCACACCAGAATAAAGCATCAGCTTTCTATCCAAAGAGAGATCCGTGACAGATTTTCAGCTCAAAATTACGTAATCATTTCACTTCATGATGAATTAAACTTAAAATTTTCATTTACTCTTTAGCATTAAACTCGACATAAAGTAATAAAATTCAAATTCCACATTTGACAATCAGCTAGCTGCAGGATTCACGGGCTACACCGAGCTTGGAATTGGGCACGTCAATCAGGATCCGGTGGTTCTGCTGCTGGAAGTTTGCGATTACGTTCAGAACAGAGTTGACGTTGTCGCCCGCCGCCGCCATTGCCAAGCAGGAGGTGGTACCAGCGGTGCTCCGGATGATGAAATTGTCCTGCGGCAGAGTAACGTTCATGCCGGAGAATATGAAAGTGATGGAGGGAATGGTAACCGGCACGGTGTAGCAAGTGTCGAAGCCGCCGAGAGAGGACACGGTGGCGTTGCCCATCCTCCGCCGGTACTCGTCTCGAACTGGGATATAGGCTGCCTTCACCAGACTAGTGAAGACGGTGCCTATTTGTAATTAACACCAAATATAGAAAAAAAGAGTAAGAACCGATCTAAAATACCATTAACTAACAATTTTCACTACCAAAAATAATCAAAGCAATCATAAATTAATTTTTTCTTTAATACTCATAAATTATTGTATGTAACCATTTCTTCTAAATTGTCCAACTAAAATGTCATTAAATTTTGTAAATGGATAAATCGCCACAAGACACGAGCTAAACTAAAACTTCTTTCTCAATGAAAGAACTTACAATCGATATTATCCTAGTTTAGTTACACGCTATTGTTGAATTGAGCTTATGTCTATTGTCCAAGATTCTCTCCAACCCATGCTTGCACTTTTCAATGCACATGGATTTCTCCATCACTAATTTTCTACAACTACTCACATCCCATTTCATTAAGTCCATTTTATGAACATTTTTCTTTCAATAATCTTAAAAAATTAAGATTAAAGCTAAAAATTGTAAAAAGTAAGAAAAGTTACCAGAATCAATGACTGTTCCGGCACCAGTGTTGGGATCAAAGGCAAATGCAGTAGCTGGGATGTCCACAACTTTATTTCCAACCTTAATTGCCATTAAATTCACATAATAGAGTGATGATCTTCTCGGATTTTTAAGCAATTGTGTATATTTGATCTTCTTGGGCTGGCCGATGGGTCCCAATCTTAGTGATCCACTGAAATTGGTGGATTTGTAGCTGGGCAAGCAGTATGAGAATGTGGACTTGTACAGACTATCTGTTTGAGACAGTAGAGAAAGTGGGCCTCGGCCCAACCCCAATAAACCCTGTGCAGGCAGGGAGCTGCCTGTGGCAGTTTGAATGCAGCCGAAGGTGTAGCTTGGGACCTGGTCGGCAGCCAGGATGAGGGTGTCCTGCACGAGGTTGGCCGAAAAGGTGGAGCTTCCATAGGTCTTGTTGAAGCCACAGGTGGTGCCTACACATGTTGGATTGGGTACCTGAATAAAATTTATACCAACGTAGATTTAGTAATGTCTTAAAATACCATCCGAAAATCTATTCAAAAAAATTATAAATGGTCAATGGTTATAAGATTGAGAATAATGATATCTACTACAGTGTTCTAACACCACCGATACTATAAATAGAATTACTCTAAAAGATATAATGTTGGTCAATTTGTAATCAGTTCAACTGGTCTTAGTTAAAATAGCCGACTGGTTCAACTTTTTAAGAGCTAGTTTTAAGCTGAATCCAATTAGTTTTCGAGTCAATTTCTAATTTTTCTAGTCCAACATCCGAGTAGGGCCAGTTCTCAACACAGTGGATTTTAGTGTTTATTCACGGGTCACACTTTGTGGCTGGTGCAAGAATCCGAAAAAGATAAAAACAATGCACAAGCATGTCGTATACGCGTGAATGTATCAAGAATGCCAGTATATACCTGTTTGCACTGGTCTGCAGTGCAATCCACACTCTTAAAAGTGGTAGAATTGGCCGAATTAAACACCGTGGCGGTGGAGGAGCAGCCTACACAGCCAGTGCATGGAACCCAAGCAGCATCATTGCTGGTGTCAACAGCCAAAAGCAGAGTCTGAGGAGGGGTTCCAATGTTGGCCCTGACAATGTAAGTTGGGTTCTGAGTAATGGTTCTGCCGGAGGCAATTGGGACAATGGACTTGCGCGCAACCAGGCTGGACAGGTACTGGAGCCTGGCTTTGTCCTTGGATTGCATTTGGAGGACATTGTCTTGCCATGAGAGTGGTGTTTTAGGCCTGAATGGGGAGCATGGACTGTTAACATTGATGACTTGGAGGGTTGAGCCCTGGTCTTGAATATTGCAGTTGGGGCTGAGCCCTTGAACCAGGGAGATAAAGAGAATGGCTAAGGACAGCAGAAGGGTCCTCATGGCTAGCTACTGATTGTTTGTAGGAAGTGAGTATGTATGTATTTATAGGGGTTCTGTGGATCTAAAAATTCAGGTTACCTCTTCACATATGAGGTTATACTTATAATCAATAGATTTTAGGCGTTGAGTACGGTAGGATTGGGATGGGGTATAGAGTCAATGTGGTGTTGATTCCATTAGTTTTTTTATTGGTTTTTGGCAGACTCTTGTGCAGCCTTTGTCCGTCCCATTCATCACGGAGATAATACTGTTACTGATTAAGACATTTTTCGAGTCCAATGAAATTCTACACTACACATGGTGTTTTTAATGAAAAGATAAATATAACTGCAAGTCAATAGTGTCCTTGTTCAGCAGACTATTGAATATTTATTTATTTTTCATGTCACTGTCTCTAAAAAAGGTATTAGACGAATGGAAATAGCATACGTAATTAATTAGCCATTTGCAAAGTGGCTAATTAAAGGCATGAAGCAGCACTCTGAGTGGTCACTTTGGCAATTAGCCATTTGCAAAGTGGCATTGCATGTCCTGTTTTGAAGGTGACATTCGTTTTGACTTTTTTTTAGGAGACTTGGGAATTGGCTTAGGGAAGTCGGATGGTAAAAAAAGTTCGCTGCACGAAAATGATCTCTCAGCAATTTTACAATGTGCCGTGAAACTATCTCGATCCCATTCAATGTTTTTTCTTCGCATAATTTCAGTAAAATATATTCAATTAATCGAAAATAGAAGAAGAGGTGGTTGTTAAAGGCAAGTAACTTTTACTTTGTAATTTTGTAGCTTCCCGTCCCGTGAACGCCAAGATATTTTGTCAGAGAATTCTTGCGTCAAGAATGTAGCAAAGCTTCAACTGGGTCCACTACTCCAGTACAATGCCCTACGTGACATCTAACCCACAACACTGAAGGAAAACCTCGATGCTTTAATAAGGCTCTGTTTGGGAGGGATTTAAATTTTTTTACAGTAAATCAATTCTCATTTTTAACCACACATTCTTCAATAAAATAATATTTTCCATTACATCAATAATTTTTTTCTTTTTTTTCAACCACATTTCCCATCATATCACTATTCAAAATCAATTTTTCCCCAAAAAATCCCTCCCAAACAAGCTCAGAAAAAGAGCAGCTGACATTCCTATTCCATAATTCTTCCCAGTCCAATCCTCAATTTTTATTTCTAAAATTATAGCATGAAATTNAAATTTCAAATTCGATTGTTCTTTTGAACTTTTGATACCATATATTTGGAATTCCATCTTCAATAAGAGATGAAATTTTATTTTTAACGGATTCGATAATCTCAACTCTAAACAAGACATGATAAAGTTTGCAGCAAGAATAAGTAACTTGCAATTCAACATAGGCAGATCTCATGGACCAAATTTGTCATAAAATATTTGGGAACTATCATCATATGGTTATGGCCTAGCCTTACTGTCTGTCAAAATGATTCATGCATGCTTCTTCTTCCTTATGGCCAACTCATAATTGCCAAATATTATGATATTTTAATGTCTTAACAAATTAATTTTATTATTTTTCAAATGATGGATTAATGCTTAATCAAATTGGGTTCTATTTTGTTTTGGGTAATTAATTTTGTTGAGAAAAAAACAGACGAAATTAATTATGTCATATATATGTAAACTATGGGTCAATTTCATGTTAAAAATATTTAGGCCCTGTTTGATGGCCTTGATTTTCCATGTATTTTCCATTTTCCCACTTTTTGGCTGTTTGATGACAATAATTTTCCATGGAAAATTTTTTCCCCCCCAACCTTCCCACGCGCCTTATTTCCTTGTTTTGGAGGAAAATTTATTTCCATTTGGTGGGAAAAAATTTTCCATGAGGCAGTCAATTTTTTTTTTTTTAGCAATAGAAACAAAATTCACTTTAATTGACAATTTTCATGTAAAACAAAGTCAAACGAATACTAAACTTTGATGAAAAAATGATTTTTTAGGAAACAATTTTTTTTTTTTTTTTACTTTTTGGCAATGGAAACAAATTTTATAACCAACTGTGGAAAAAATTATTACTTTAATAGACACTTTCCATGTAAAATAAAGCCAAACGAATAGAAAATTTAAAAATTTTCCGGATTGAAAATTATACCAATCAAACACACTTAATTACCAATTCCCTGCAAAATATTTTCTAGACAATTGTTTTCCTTGGAAATCATTTTCTTTCCACCCATTTTCCACCCTTGCAATCAAACGCACCCTTAGTAATCATGTGATGTAGCAAATAGTTCACAAACCTGAAAAACTTATTGGAGCCCATAAT